AAAGAACAGAACGAGTATGGAACCGACGAGAACCAGGGCTACAACAGAAACTGGAAAAGCGACACCACGTTTTAAAGTGTTCTGCAATCACTTTCATGTAGACTCCAGAAAGGTTCAAGAAAGGAATGGGCTTCTGCAGCAACTGTGACACACTCCTGGAAGAGGTCACTCCCTCAGCACCAAAAGCAGCTAAGGCAACCTCGGGAAAAAGGCGTGAACTGCTCTCTCGATCTTTCATCCTCCCTAAAAAAGCAATTATCTAATGAATGAATCTCTCAGATGCGCTCTTCCTACGGCCAAGCACCCAGAACTCGCCTGAGAAAGTACGGCTTGGCGTAGAACTTGAAGTCGGTCCCCTCGAAATAGACGTCGAACTCGGAGATCCGAGCGTAGGGCACGCGGATGGCGATCGTCAGGAAAGCCGGGTCCTGGCTGAGGTCGAACGCGGGAGTCAGCATCGCCAAGCCGGACGCAAGTGCCTGAGACACTCGCTCTCGCAGCCGCTGCAGTCCTGGCGCTTAAACTCTCCAAGAAGTCTCCACGCGCCCAGCCGCGTTCTGCGAGCCACCACGCTTCCGGTTCGTGGCGGAAGTGTTGGCGTGCGAGGCAGGAAGTCCCGCCCCACGCCCATTCTCCATGGAGACGGGACGCTCTAAGCGAGGAGGTGGAGTTTTCAAAACCACCGCGAAGAGAAAGGCGGTGGTGAGTGACTCTAGGACCCTGGAGTTGAACCTAGTGGGGATAACTTGGAAGAATCTAGGCAAATGGGCCACCGTGGTCCCTCTAAGCCGCTTTCGAGGCTCTTAAAGGGTATTTTAACAGCACTGGATTTGCAGATAGACAGACGTGTGTTTGAATTCTTTCCCGACCACCACTTCCCGCAGACTTTAGGAAAAGTCACAAAACCTCTCTTGCTTCACATATCTCTTCTGTAAAATAAGGATAATACTACAGTCTAGCCCCATAGAGATGCTATGAAGGTAACATGAAATTATGCATGTAGAACTCTTAACAATGTACCCGGCAAGTTGTCGGGTTGTCAGTGCTCAATGTGTTGAAGTCACCGCAACAGCCACAACAGCGCCGTTACTGTGGTTTTCCTCAGTTCTCACCTGCCTTGTCAACAGTTCTCCTTTTCTCCTCTTCCTCTTCCTCCTCCTCCTCCTTTTGCCTCCTTGTCTCTTCTCACTCTTCCCACTTCTTTCTAGCAGCTTTCTCCCCCATTCTTAATCCCTTGTTTGAATATGTTTTTCTCATTAACAGAGGGTCTATCCGTCCAACTAATCTCATCTAATCCGCACTACAAACTTCAAAATAAAACTGGGCTCTGAGAGGTTAAGCAATAAATACACTTCACAATGACCAGAAATCAGAACGTTTGAGACTAAAACTGTGTCAGTGCCTTCACTGACGTCTCTCTGTATTTCCCTTCTTTCTTTTTTTCTCACTTTTCCTTACACTTGTCAGGAGCTATCTTTCCTTTTTTCCCCCTTCTCTTCCCTTTATTTACTCCCTTTAGCCTGTGCTCCTTCTACTCTCCCAATGCCTCTCCCACTAGTCTCCCACCTCCCTTCCCCTTGAACTCTGATCTTATTTCTTGTTATTCCACAAGTAATTAAATAGTGCAATTGTGGTATTTATTCCCTGGTTTTAGATGTTGGTAGAAAAGGAGTGGACGTCATCTGGTAGGACACTGGAGATAACTACAAAAGCCTTTTCAACATTCAATTTTTTTTTTTTATGATTCTAGGAAACAGTCCTGAAACTTCATTAGCATTCAGGAAAAAATATTAAGAGGAGCTAAATTAATTGAATACTTACTATGTGCCAGCACTAAATACAAGATTTAGATGATTCTATTTAGATGATTCCATTTCCCCCTCCTAACAGCTCTATGAAGTAGTCATTGTATTAATATATTCCTTTGGCTCTCATAGATCACACAGCCAGTAAGCTGCACAATGGGAATTAAAACCAAAGTAAATCTGATTCCTAAGCCCAGCCTATCGGCTACTACATATTTGACTCAATATTACTACCTACTCCCTTTGTTTCACTTTCTGAGGCCAAGCATGCCAGCTTTAGATTTGTAAGGCTTTTGAGCCTTACAAATAATAGGCACTCAATATTGACAATGAATCAGTGCCAATCTGGAATTAGTAAAGCCCTCAAAAGATCCCTTGACATAGACCTTTGACTAAATTATTCAAAGTTAGCTTCTCTAGAGAGAATCTTTATATCTACCATGGGACCTCATTCCTGTAGGTCACAGCATTAATGTTTTTTAAATTATTAATGCCAGAGAATTTGCTGAAACAAGCTGTGCTAGGAAACTCTAGTTGAAAGCACTTTACAGACTAGAGCTGCGCATTTCCCAGGTTCTTCATTATGTGCAATACACATGTGCACACACACAGAATTCCAACACAGAAAAACACACTATATGGTTCAGTGCTGCTGGCATTTCTAAGAAATATATATTGCAACTTGGTGCCCATAACACAGTGGCTATGGTGCCAGCCACATACACCAAAGTTGTTGGGTTCAAACCTGGCCTGAGCCAGCTAAAACAACAATGACAACTAAAACAAAAAATAGTCAGGCGTTGTGGTGGGTGCCTGTAGTCTGAGCTACTTGGGCGGCTAAGGCAAGAGAATCCCTTAAGCCCAAGAGTTTGAGGTTGCTATGAGCTGTGATGCCACAGCACTGTACCAAGGGTGACATAGTAAAACTCTGTCTCAAAAAAATATATACATATACACGCACACATATATATATATTGCATCAAAAAGAAGAAAAAAAGAAATATATATTGCATCTTTTGTATCACAAAATACTGATAGTTAAAACGAAATACAAGATTTCCTTATTTGGGGAGTTCTTGTTTTTGCAAGCAATAGTTCTCTTTTTGCATTTCTAATCAGTGTAAATTATACAAGTTATGAATTCATTCTTCTTTAGAAAATATAAAGTTCACTTTCTTTTTTTTTGAGACAGAGCCTCAAGCTGTCGCCCTGGGTAGAGTGCCGTGGCATCACAGCTCACAGCAACCTCCAGTTCCTGGGCTCAAACAAGTCTCCTGCCTCAGCCTCCCAAGTAGCTGGGATTACAGGCACCTGTCCAGCTATTTTTTTTTTTTTTGGTTGCTGCAGTCATTGTTGTTTGGCAGGCCAGGTTGGATTCAAACCCGCCAGCTCAGGTGTATGTGGCTGGTGCCTTAGCTGCTTGAACCACAGGCACCAAGCCATAAAGTTCACTTTGACAGCCATGCAAACTTGGTTTTCTCTCCTGTTTCACCAAAGGTAATTCTTCTAGGGGGTTGGGGGGCCATGGAGTGTGACACACCTCTTGGGGACAGGACACAATTATAAGAGGGACTTTACCTAACAAATGCAATCAGTGTAACCTGGTCCTTTGTACCCGCAATGAATCCCCACCAATAAAAAAAAAATAATAATAACGTAAAACCCACTTGAATCAAAAAATTGAGACTGATGCTCAGCACCCATAGCTCAGCGGCTAGGGCGTGGGGCACATACACCGGGGCTGGCAGTGTCAAACCCCATCTGGGGCCTGCCAAACAACAATGACAACTACAACAAAAAAACAGCCAGGCATTTTGGCAGGCACCTGCAGTCCCAGCTACATGGGAGGCTGAAGCAAGAGAATCTCTTTCACCTGAAAGTTTGAGATTGCTGTGAGCTGTGATGGCACTGCACTCTACCTAGGATGACATAACAAGACTCTGTATCAAAAAAATACTGTGAATGGGCATTTTAATTCAGCAATTCATTACTTCCACTAAAAAAAAAGGTAATTCTTCTAGCAATTATTGAAAACCCTGCTATGTTTCTCCATCCATTTCTATGTATCCTGTTACTTTATGTTTAGACCTACTTTTTATGGGCACATTATTACATTATAACTCTGCAACTTGCTTCTTTTTTATACTTTGGTACATTTTGTAGATATAGCTATATTGATTCATAGATCAAATCCATTTTTATTTCTGAATACAGACATTGCTTGAGAATAAAGACATTATCTCATTTTGGCCCCAGTTGGATGGGAAAAACAGTAATGACATTTTTCATAATTTTTTGAGAATTCAAAGATTGCTATTTTTTTCTCTTCCATTGTCTTAAGCCCTACTTTTGGGTGGCCTTTCACTAGTTTAAAAATAGTTTTTTCCATAACCAATTTACTGAGGACAAGTATGTAACCCATCGTCTTTAATTGCATTAAAATAGTCCCTCTTCTGGCTAATAAACGTGATTGTGATCCATAAGATTCAAAATTAAGGCTCGGCACCTATAGCTCAACCGGCTAAGGCGCCAGCCACGTACACCTAAGATGGCGGGTTCGAATCCCCAGCCCGGACCCGCCAAACAACGACGGCTGCAACCAAAAAATAGCTGGGTTTTGTGGCGGGCGCCTGTGGTCCCAGCTACTTGGGAGGCGGAGGCAGGAGACTCGCTTGAGCCCAGGAGTTGGAGGTTGCTGTGAGCTGTAATGCCACGGCACTCTACCCAGGGGACAGCTTGAGGCTCTGTCTCAAAAAAAAAAAAAAAAGATTCAAAATTAAATCTTAAATTAAAAAATGGCTTTTATAAATAATTCCAATTGTAACAATTTTATCTTTATTACCAAGTTCTATTGTTAGGTCTTTTAATGGTGAAATACTTCTTATTTCCAGAAGGTGGCATGTGTATAAGGGATTAAAACATCAGGAAGAGTAGAGTTTTAACTGAAGTTCGAAAATAGCTTCCTGAACAAGTCATTGTAACTCTAGTTCATTCTCTGAGCCATGCTGGGTAGGTGGGAGAATATTAAACATAGTGTGCAAACTACACCTTAACCACCAAACCACTATTATTATTTTGGTAAATGTCTTTTCAGACTTTTATTCGATTCACAAAATACCAGAAGTTTTTTGTTTTTGAGACAGAGTCTCACTATGTCACCTTTGGTAGAGTGCCATGGCATCACAGCTCATAGCAACCTCAAACTCTTGGGCTTAAGGGATTCTCTTGCCTCAGCCTCCCAAGTAGCTGGGACTACAGGCACCTGCCACAAAACCCAGCTATGTTGTTGTTGTTGTTGTCACTGTAGTCTGGCAGGCCCGGGCTGGGTTTGAACCCGCCAGCCTCGGTGCATGTGGCCCTGTAACCACTGTGCTACCAGCGCTAAGCCAAGTACCAGAAGATTTTTAAACACAAATTATGTCATACTCCACATTTTATTTTCTTCACTTAACGTAGTGTTACAATATTTCCATTTGACTAAATTCGCCCTTGGTAGAGTGCTGTGATGTGGCAGCTCACAGCAACCTCAAACTCTTGGGTTTAAGCAACTCTCTTGCCTCAGCCTCCCAAACAGGTGGGACTACAGGTGCCCGCCACAACGCCCTGTTATTATTTATTTATTTATTTGCAGTTTTTGGCCAGGGTTGGGGTTGAACCCACCAACCTCAGCATATGGGGCTGGTGCCCTACTCTTTTGAGCCATAGGCGCTGCCGGCACCCAGCTATTTTTTGTTGTTGTTGTTTTAGCTGGCACAGGCAGGTTCCAACCCGCCAGCTTCCATGTATGTGGCTGGT